CGTCCACAATTTTTCGTCTGGAGATCTACTTTAGAGCTCAATGAGATCTACCAACGAAAAAACATCTGCATTCAGGGGCGGATTTTCGCAGCACTGTTTTTGCAAATCAGACTTAACGAGAATGCAGGCGCTAATGTGCCTATGTTCCGGGTGTGGGCGATCGCACTGTGGGCAGGGGGCATGGCTGCGGTGACATTTACTTCAATACAATCCCACACCCCCTCCCGCCCCTGAACGGAGGGAGTCAGCCGGCTTGCATTCCAGTGCGTTCTAGAGACCCTGGCATCCTGTCCTCCTGCGGTGCTCGTGTGGCCAAATGTGGCTGACGTTGCACTCGGGGAGATGTGTCCCGCCCCTTTCTGTCTGCGGCGTCTGACACATTCAGCCGGCAGCCGCACGAGCACCACGGGAGCATAGCCGTAGCCAGCTCCTTTTGCGCCCGAGGCAAGAAAATAACGTGTGCACCCCCTCCCACAATAGGCATGTGACGTCACCCTGCACCCGGGATGTTTTTTTCCCCCAGTTATTTACAAACACTGGAGTGATCAGCTGATCGATCCAGTGTTTGTCCTGCACAGAGGATTGGTACATATTGCTGATATGTACCGATCCTCCGCCGCTCGGCCACGTACACAGGGGGGCTCAACCCTGCAACTTCTCCTCTGGATCTCCGCTGCTCTCCTCCATCTGTGTGGGGATCCAAGGAGAAGTGAAGGAAGCACTTCAGCCTCGGGGGGAGCGGTTGAGGGAGCCGCTGTCACAGCAGCATGGTCGAGTGGTGAGGAGAGAGAGAGCAGCCGGCTGTCAGATCCTGGCCTGACTTCTGTGATAGCGGCTCCCTCCTCCATCCCCTTGCCCCCGGCTGGAGCACTTCATTCACTTCTCCTCGGATCCCCACTGCATACAGGTTGGGGAGAGCAGCGGGGATCCAAAGGAGAATCCCCACAGTGGGAGGAAAGGACATTGTGATCTACCAGTGATCGCTACGCACCAGGCACAGTGGATCTCGGGACCGGCAGCGGCGGCGGCGACGACGGCGGTACGGGGGGCGAACACCCACACCTACTACAAGCAATCGGGCTACTCTAGACGCCCGATCGCTTGAATGTAAACAGCCATCGCTGGCTGTTTACATTGCTGACAGTTTCCCCACTTGTGTGCGTGCTGAGCACCGAACACGAGCAGGGGAGGGGAAGGACGTCTTAAGACTCCCGCTCCTATAAGGCTCCCATCCCCAGAGTTTTAAAGCAAACATATGCTTTGCCCATGCAGTGCAATGCACCATGTTCCCTTTTATGCCCATCTCACCAGCAGCACATCACCTTTCCTTCACTGCTCTGCTGCTCTATTCAGTAAGTGAAAGCAAGCCAAGGAAACTTGTGTAAACTCTAGATGGAGCATACAGAGTACTAACCAATGTCTCCCTGCCTTATGTGACAGTGCTTGGCCAACCACATACGTATGGAAAGGGAGTGATTCCTGCTACTTAATGCCCTAAAATATCAGATATTTATTTCCCATCCCTGGGGAATGGAAGGAAAGCTGAGTATATGCTGATAAGAAGGGAGGCATTAAAGCAAACCTGTTGCTTTTCCCTGGTCAATACTTTTGCACTGAAGCATACATATTTGCAAACAGCTACATATAAAAATGATAATATAGAAACATATAGTTAATTTTGTCGACTAAGGGCCTGTTCACATGACGTCCGTTTTCTGTGCTGACCTGCTCCGTACGCTCCTGCACTAAAAAAGCATCCCAATGTATCCCTATGTGTTTTATGGGCTACAGTTCTCACGTGTGCAGTCGGTTCAGGTTACGACAGAAAAATACTGCATGTCACATTTTGTACGGTCAGGAAACGGACCAGGAAACGCAAAACGCGTCAAAAACGCATCAAAAACGCACTGCACTGCAGCTAACATACTGACAGCCCCACTCCACCAAAAACCTGGAACGCATCAAAAACGCGGCAAAAAAGCACTGCATCATTAGCACCACGTCTGCAGATCCGCACCTGATCAGGTCCTGATCAGGACCTGATATCATGTGAACAGGCCCTAAAGGTTTTTGTCAGCAACACTTTTTCAGTGACTAAAACTTAATGAAAACTAAGTTATGATGACTAAATCTATAACGAAAATATATTGACATTTTAGTTGACTAACTAAAACTAGACTAAAATGTTAGGGAGAGACGATTTAGGAAGAGATCCAATTAGAACTAATCTCTTTGGACCAGTTCCGGTTCCATCCTGAATAGACAGCTAATAGATGTTATGTGCAATAGCATTACAGCCAATATAGTTTTTAATTTTAATAGTTTAGAGTTGCTGAAAGAATGAAGAATGTCATATGCAAGTTGTTATAATCAATGCATATCTAATTACTGGTCCTTTGTTGACAATACTCAATATTATTGTTTCTTTATAAGACGTGGTTTAATCTAATTTTAAGATAAATATAGACATGTTATATAGAACAGTTAATTCTGTGTCTGCACTGCATGTTCAAACCTTAATACAATAAGTAATAACAGGTTAACAGATGTTTACTCAAGGAGTATATAATGAGATTAGAAATTCTTGAAAAATTCTTAAATGACTCTTTAACTAAACACACTATAATTTTAGTAGACTAAATTTATTGTAGATTTAGTCAATTAAAACTAGACTAAAACTAAAACAAGTCATATGACAAAAATATGACTAAAACTAAATGACATTTTAGTCCAAAGAATATGACTAAAACTAAATCGAAATTTGCTGTCAAAATGAACACTGTATATAAATATAGCTTTAATACGTTTGTGTGAATTGTATTTCCAAAAAATGTAAAATTTTGTTCAGTTAGACTTCTAATACAGACACTCCTGGCCAAACACTATACAAGGTCCTCACCATTTTTTTTCTCCACAGCAGTGACAACAATAAATGTGGTCACAGTGACTGCATAGTGAAGGAGCTGCAGCTGAGTTGATGAAGTCATCTCTCTCTCATTATGGATGGTGCCATTGTATGCAGCAACAATTTAAACCAAAAAGCCTCACTGGCATTTAAAAGGTTATGCAGAATACAGGGACATGAGGGCATGTTTTCAACATAAGTTTTGGTGTGCTGTGCATTTTTTGGTTTCAAATCAAGTCGCTCTGGACTCACCGGTGAAGGATGCAAGGCCTTTCACTATAAGAAGCCGGATCCTGCAGTACTGAAGACCCACCCACTGCTGAGACAGAAAAGGGCCTGTGACATCATACAACCGAAGACCAGATATTACATGGTATCCTATAGTATACAGTATACAACTGCATTGTAGGTGATGGTGTCATCAGGAGAACAGCCACCTGAGCAGTTAAGACCAGCGGGTTTTGGAATGATTGTCTGTTGGGAAGGAAGCCTATGAGAGTGAGGAATAAGGTAAGTATTCCTATGTTTTACACCCAACTGTAGCCTATACAACCTTTTAGCCCTTACCTTCTGGTGAGGGATGCACAATACTTATTTTTAAACGGCTGACTGGAGTTCAGCCTTAAGATCTGGTAAAGGCTGGTCATACAATGCTCCAAGTCAGCAGGACTGGGTCAAAGTTCAAGCTCTTGGGGGCCCTGTTGACTCTACTCCATTTAACAAATGGTGACTATCTAATAGACATTTGTCAAAGGACCTAAACCAAAAACTGTTGCTGGACAGGGATTACAGCAAATCAGCTGCAGTCACTGTTTGGGTATTCTGTCAGCTACTGGTGCTGGCTGTCGGAATTCAATAGCCCAGCAGGAGTGACTCCCCCATCCACCCTGTTTAGTGTGGATGGGGAAATTGAGCATTGTTACTTGTTCAGCCCCTATTTTTTCTTGGCCAGCTAAGGTTTGATGTTCCTATTGTGCACATGTTCTATCCTGACAAATTTCTTTAACTTGAAAAGCCCCACAGCTTCAACCAAAGACAGGAACCCTGGAAAAACTCCAGTAATCAATGTGAAAATCAAATGTGCATTAGAGACATACTCTGTAGTTCACAAAGAGTTAATCACAGCCGTGCGGATTACAAGTCATAAATGGCATATGCCATAAAAAGCTTCTAAACTGTATTTGTTCATAAGGCAAATCAGTGGCACAGTTTTATCTGATACCTTTTCCCCAGTGATATGCACAACTCTCCTATTAAATCATAAACACAAACATCAAGCCTTTTTACATCCACCCAACACCTATTCTTTTCCATCTGGATGCTACAGTACAGAATAAAGGCAAGATAAAATCATAGTATGCTATGTAATGACATGAATAAATTATTTGTAAGCAATACAACCATACACTGTAATCCAAATATTGACCGATTCATTGAGCAGATGCATAATGCAAATGTAGCCGAAGAAAGTGCTGTGACCCCTAAAAATCATATTACAGTTTATGTTAAAATGCTGATTGGTTGCTATTAGTTATGGCAATCTCCACACACTGGCCACTTTACATTGCAATGCATTATTTAAGAAGCCTAAACATATTAACAATTCGTTATCTACCCTGCCTGAATACATCCTGAACGTTCCACAGCGTACCCATTCCCTCAACTGATCAACATTGCTAGAAGTACCCTGTCCGGGTCTGGTGCAGAATGGATTAATATTTCCAACTTCTTCCAGAAAAAAAGTTTTTCTCAGTATCGTACCCCAATCTCATCCTTAAAACACACAGTCACATAATCATCAAACACTTGGAAATGAATTGTACAAAAAAAAAATGAGTCCTTATATATTGACCTTAAATTAGGAAATCATATAGCCTAATGCTACCTGACCCTTTTGCTCTAAAAAATAAATAAATAAAAAGATAAGGACAGAAAAAACAAAAATGATTAGCTATAAGAGGAATAATATTTTCTCTGATCATAGGTTCTCCGTTCCCAGCTCCATGTGTCTGTATCAAGAGGTTGTTCAGGGATTCCTAGAAGGATCTGCCTATATAAAAGTATATGAGAAAGAAAAAAGAATGCAGACAGTTACCTGGAGAAATTCACATTCTTGTCTCCCTGGACCACAGTGAAGAATACTTTGGCTGCAGCTGTCCAACAGAAGTGCGCTCCAACAGACGACTGCATGTATAGATGGTTAGAAAGAGAGCATAATCTAGGAGAGGGAGGTGGATTAACTGGTGATGCTGCCAGCACACAGTACAACCACGCCAAGGGTTTGATCCTCCAGGGAACACATTTAAATACTTCTCTCCATTGTCACCCTCTGGATTTGCAGTGGTTGACAGGTGTGGAAATAATGGAATAAGCAATGAAGCCTTGGAGGGAAGGCGTATTATAGATTTAGCACAGTGAGGGGCTGCACAGAGCCCCCCAAGCAGCACAGCTCATTTCACACTCTCCAAAGTCTTGCTAAAAATCCTATCTGCACCCTGCAGTCACATTTATTTAGCGAGATTTAGAGATAGGGGCTGGCAGAGGCGACTGACAGAAGAAGAGTCAGGAGGAAAAACATCTTTTAGTGTGTTAGAATGATGGAGTAGAAATAAAGCATAGCTATAGGGAAAATACTACATCTATTCATAAGTATGTAAAGTGAAAAAGCCTTATATATGTATATGCCAGGATTGTTTTCAATCTCTTCTATTTGGAAGAAAAAAATTATATTCAGGAAAGCTTTAGAGATGTAAAACGAAATTAAGCCTGTCTTGGACAATCATATTTTCTGGTATCTGGATAACAAGCCTTTACAAACAATGCGGTTTCATCCAACTCACTGGTTCATTCACATCTTTTTCAGGGCGACTTGTTCTCAGCTGCTGAGAGGAGAGTTGTGACACTAAGTGCAAGAGTAATTGCAGCTCACAATAAAAAAAGAACAATACCTTAAAACTAAAGAAGACATGAAAAGGATCAAAAGGAAACTTACTCACTTGTCCAGCGAATCTAGCGTTGTCCTGCTGTGATCCACCAATTTGTTACCACAGCCCTGGTCCTGCGCTACCATCTTCTTTTCTGCCATCATCAGGAGCTGGTTGTTTCTGTGGGTGCTGCAGCTGGCCCCCGATAATGTATAGCCACTGTGATTCCATACTCCTGCAGCTTCCTAAGATTTGTCACATGCATATCCCAGGGGCCTGCAAAACCAGGAACTAGTAATTTTCACCTAGGCAAGAATGAAAGCAGGAGACAGGGCTGACCAAAAAGTGAAAAAAAGAGGGTGTTTGCAGTGAGCTAATGTAAACCTAGATAATGAAGGTCTGCTTTAAGTAGATCTAAATCCTAATTGATATCTTTTCCATTTCCAAGTCCTTTTTATAAAATATTGTGTCCAGTCTTCATCCCTTTTTCCATCTCAGTGCTACTGATCACCTGTAGCTTTATTCAGCCACTTCCTGTCTATCTGCAATTTCTCCAGCGTCAGTTGGATATATTTGCTCTGGTCAGGCTTCTTGATAGTGACACTGGTGGCCCATGACTGTGCAATGTGTGTCAGCAAGATCGCTCGTAGTCATCACTCTTCATGTGACAGGATGAAAACACATATACGCAATTGAGATACAGTTGTTATCTCATAACAGGAAGTGACTGAACATGGACCCTTATGGCAGGATCACCAGATATTATTTTATTGAAAGCTGAAGATTTTGATAGCTTGAAAAAGCTTTTGAAGTTATGTTAAGATGTTAATGCATATATAAGGCTTAATTACTGGGTTTAGATCTGCTTTAACTAGAGCTATCATATCAGCTTAACATCCAACTGTCCCTCATTTCAAACGGCTATTCCTTTTTTGGAACCAACTCCCTCTGTCTCTATTTCCTTCTCAGTTGTCATTTTAGTCTAATGTCTAAACATGTATAAAATGTACTGTGCCGCCCCAATGGGGCATAGAATATGTTATAGAAGTTAATATAGATAGAAGTTTTGCATAGTGTGTTTTGCCTAACCATTTTCTCATAGCTAATCCATGTTTTATTATATGTTGCCATTTTTATTTTTTTATTTTGAGCAGGCGTTCTTTTTTTGACAAGTGCCTTCCAATGGGCTGTTCCCTTTCGTG